GAGTCTAAGGTTTCTACTTTCTGATGGCTAAGTGAGTTTAATTCAGGGTTTATATCATTTCCATCTTGACATGAATTTTCCAATGTATGACTAACATCATTTTTATCCACATGTAACTTTCCTATCAAAGGTACAAAACAAAGAGTCAGTCAACTGAAATGAACCAAAACCAAGAAAGCTATGCTCTCTGTAAAGCAAGAAAAAGGATTTTTTTTCTCTTACACAATTTCTATTTTTTTTATACATATAACATAAACACAATGACAAAAAAATTCATACTAGATGAGTTATAATGACGATATATTCTTAAGTCCAATATCTAAATACACATAAAATATTAATTTAATGTATTCCATAGAAAACAATTTACTAATTCATGAAAATAAAAGGTAAGTCCACTAAATCAGTATATAGAGATTTGTAAACTGTCAGCACATGTCCATGAAGACATTAAATTGATAATTCAATGGAATACCGTATTTGCTCTATTAATAGTATATGTCTAACGATCTGGCATACAACAAATGTTTGCTTCTAATAGAGCAAATACAGTATTAGTTTTTTTCAGTTACATACCTGAAATAACATTGTCTCCTGATTTGGTTTCATTGTCAAGACATTTTACAGGTGTTGTCATGACAACAGTTCGTTTAGCCTCACCCTTGTCTAGGAATATATATTTAACTGACAACAAAAGAGCCAATGTAAGGGTAACTATTTGTTCTATGTTCATTGTGAATGCCCTGAAAAGAAAAATTGAGTTAGGTTACAACACATCATGTTAATGTCACTCTGTTATAACTTATATAGAAATAATCTACTGGAATGGCCCAACTTTGTTGTTTGAAAGTTTTTTTTAAAATATGCCTCAACTGGGGGAAATAAATTACAGGGTAGGTAAACATTATTCATGGTAATAGTCATACATTGAGACTACCAGAAATTTGTATGGTTTAGTTCACTGAAATTTCATCCACCTCAGATTTTTTTTTTCAGACCAATGATTTGACTTTAATTTAGGCTTCAATTAATGAAAACATAAATCATTAAACCAACTGTATGTGGGATACATTGATACTATATAGATTGTCTCTTACATTATTCCATGTAACTTACCTGGTGATATAAAACTGCCATAATGGAATATCTGGTTGAATTCTTTTATTATCATTCATATCAAACAGTGGTTGATTATTATGCATTGATGGATCAGATGATGTGGCAATCCATCTACTGTGTGCATGCACCAATACCAATCCTGCAGACTGGTCATAATAATTATTCTATTGTTAACTACATGCATAAGTTTTTTTGGATACAAGTTCACACTTAATGGACCAAATGTACATTATTGTTGTGCATTAGACATAATATTTTTCAATTTCAAGAAATAAAACTGATTTTTATCTCATTTTAATGATGCCTCTGTATGTAATATGTATTACAACACTGAGTATTAATTATCAAATACATATAATAGATCAATGAATTTAAAACATAGCTAATATACTCAAAATAGTGAAATGAAATTCAGGTGAAAATTTAGCTTTTACAAATGTATACATAATAATTTCATAGTAATTACCATAATGATTTTAACACGCTGTACAACTGGGTTTGGCTTCTTGTCTTCTTCTTCTTCTAAAACCTTAGCAAACTGACTGAGTTGCCACACTGGTCGGCCTTCTTTCATTTCCTCTGTAAGCTACAATTAGTAACAAGAAAGTCGTTAGAGATGGCAGATCTCTGGACATCTTGATTACAATTGGTTAAAACAATATTCAATATAACAGTGTGAACATCTCTATCTGCAATAGTGCTTCTAATATTTCTCAATATCGACATATTTTGGTATTCACTACATTCTTCGCCTTAAACGTGCAGGGGGAGAGGTTGTTTTAATAACATAAGTATAATATAGCTCTAATATTCAGTAACATGCTAGCTTGCTTCTATTTATAAACCAAAGCAAATAATACCTCCAAACATTTATTTCCAATGCCATTCACTTTATGTGCTACATATTTTATTTATACAAGTCATGCAGTAATCTATCCTGGGCTTAGTTATGGTAACTACCAAAACTGACAGGAAATAACAGAAGATGTCATACTCAGGACTTTAAAAGCAAAAAGTAGTTATTAAAACTGATTTTTTATACAAATAAAAACTTACCTCTAATACCAACGACAGGCAGGCAGGAAAGAATGTCATGAATACTAAATAGTTGGCAACAACGGAAAGACAACCAAAACAACACATGACTTCAAGTTGTTTAACACCTGATAGCGTTCCAACACCAATAACTAACGATTCAACAACAGCATCCAAGGTTATAACAGGACCAAGTATAGCCATGCCACTGGCAATGTTTTCTCGTACTTCTTTCTGCAATAAAGTATATTTACTCTCATCAAAATGTAGAAGGTTGTATTAAAACATTCTTCCATACGGTTTTGATAAAGTACTCCAGATGGCACACAGTCTTGTTTTCAATGTGGCTCCCATTCAATGTTTACAACACATGTGAAATATTTACATGCAATTTGAACATACGCTGACTGACATATAATTCTAATCTCATGACAATAGTATCCCATGATGCAATGGTTCATCAGGCACAGGGAGGAACAGTGCTATGAGGGGCAGTCACTTCCAACTCACTCCTAACCTGTCTAAGTTTAACACTGACTGTTGCCATAGTAGCAGTAGTAAAGTACAACTTGAACATTCTTATAGCTGTATTTACCTGTGATGATGCACTCAATGCAAATTTAGCCAAAGCACTGGCCTTAGAGAGGTCAATCAGAAGTAGAAAGAATGGCATTGCCTCACTAAAAGAAAACATATTACAATTATATATGGTAGATTCATTGGTTATATTAAATTTTCATCAACACTGTAAAATTTGCAGCAATATATAGACTGAAATATATTAAGCAGTCAAATAATTGATAACAAGTGAAACTAACTGTAATCCTGTGACTTCCTTGTCCATAAAATTCACTACTGCAGTGCTGAACACAAAGCTTGAAAACATAGTAAATAGCCCTGCAATACCTAAAAAACAAACATGTAAACAATAATAAGAATCTATTTTTTGGATCAGAATAATGCAATTATTATAAATACTGTAAAAACATTTTCACTGGTGTTTAATTCTATTGTTGTTTTGAGCTTATTTACTAGGTTTTAAATTCACACTTTTGTCAGAAAAAAATAAAAAATTAAAACCTGGTGAATAAGGAAGAATTTCATATAAAATAGAAGTATTTTATAATATTTGGTATTAGTGCTAGTTTCCATCATGAACTTTAGTAATTTTGGCTTCGAAAATCCTGTCTTCAAAATATTTTGAAATCATGCATAACGAAAACGTACTCACCCAAGATATATTTTGATCCAATTCTACGTAAATTTTGAAATTGCAAATAAATATAGAATACAGCCAAGCATCGTGTGATTGTCATTATTATGATATCAGAACTCATTATATCCTAACAAAAAAACAAAGAAATCAATATAAACAATACATTTGGGGGCAAGTAGAAGAAAATCTGACAATAACTATGTAATGAGAAATAATATTATGTGATTAGAATTAAAACTCAAAAGGCTAATGTTCAATCAGTCAGAACATGCAATGTAGCAAATACCTCATTTTGAGAGCAATCATAATTCCATCCACATATCTTATCATTGCCAGTAAACATATTCATTGACATCATACAGATAGTGACAGTCAGTGTTCCAACTATTACCTCCCATGGATGGGCAGCACAGAAACGACCATGCATTTGAAATATCCCAGACAACATCCTGCGACTTAATCTAAAATAAAGAAGAGAAAAATAATTGATATTTAGTGATGTAGAAAATTGCCAAAAAGTGACGAAAAACTGTGGCTGTAAACAAAATACTTCTGCCTGTGAAAAGTGAGTGTTGGTTGAGCCATCTCCATGCTGGCAGAAGTGTTGGCTGAGCCATCTCCATGCTGGCAAAAGTGTTGGCTGAGCCATCTCCTTGCTGGCAAAAGTGTTGGCTGAGCCATCTCCATGCTGGCAAAAATGTTGGCTGAGCCATCTCCATGCTGGCAAAAGTGTTGGCTGAGCCATCTCCATGCTGGCAAAAGTGTTGGCTGAGCCATCTCCATGCTGGCAAAAGTGTTGGCTGAGCCATCTCCATGCTGGCAAAAGTGTTGGCTGAGCCATCTCCATGCTGGCAAAAGTGTTGGCTGAGCCATCTCCATGCTGGCAAAAGTGTTGGCTGAGCCATCTCCATGCTGGCAAAAGTGTTGGCTGAGCCATCTCCATGCTGGCAAAAGTGTTGGCTGAGCCATCTCCTTGCTGGCAAAAGTGTTGGCTGAGCCATCTCCACGCTGGCAAAAATGTTGGCTGAGCCATCTCCATGCTGGCAAAAGTGTTGGCTGAGCCATCTCCATGCTGGCAAAAGTGTTGGCTGAGCCATCTCCATGCTGGCAAAAAGTGTTGGCTGAGCCATCTCCATGCTGGCAAAAGTGTTGGTTGAGCCATCTCCATGCTGGCAAAAGTGTTGGCTGAGCCATCTCCATGCTGGCAAAAGTGTTGGCTGAGCCATCTCCATGCTGGCAAAAAGTGTTGGCTGAGCCATCTCCATGCTGGCAAAAAGTGTTGGCTGAGCCATCTCCATGCTGGCAAAAAGTGTTGGCTGAGCCATCTCCATGCTGGCAAAAGTGTTGGCTGAGCCATCTCCACGCCGGCAAAAGTGTTGACTGAGCCATCTCCATGCTGGCAAAAAGTGTTGGCTGAGCCATCTCCACGCCGACAAAAGTGTTGACTGAGCCATCTCCA